ATCCCACCGCATGCTGCGCTCCTCTTGACCACCATTTCACTACTTCTAGGCAGCTTTTTATTTATTGCGGTAACAAACGGGAGTACCAGCTTACGGTATCCATAGCAACAGAAAAATCCCTTGTAAACTGGCTTCAGGCGAAGTGATTATTAGAGTTATAACTACTATACTATCATGCAAACGTTTAGTGCGCAAATTCATTTCCATGTATTGAATCTTTATATTGATCCCAATTTTTTCTAGTCCCTACGTTTCAAATCCGTGGACGCATCAACACTGGCCAAAGAATATGCTCAGCATTGTCGTNGTCGTAACGAATCTTTTTGAAGCAAATAACGCTAATAGGAACCGACTACGACCTCTCGTAATCAAATCCGGATGTTGAAAATCCATCAAGTGAACGACTTTACAAGACAGCTTCCGGACAGATAAGATTTTTCAACAGAAACAAGATTTGATTTATTTTTCGTTGTGATCATTTGATATCCGCAAAACATGGTTTTATTAACTGAATACAAAAAACTGTAACTGTATTCAACTCAGTTCAGATTGCTACTGAGGTCCGATTGTGTATAAAGGATGTAACGGTTTCTTATCCGCGTAGATATATGATGATAGCACCCTTTTGATCCATCATGCCTTTCATAACGGTGGCCCCAAAAAGGCCATTGTATTTTTTTATATTGTTTATTAAGTCTAAACATTTCTGATGGTTATTCGTTATGTGGGGTTAAATGGCGGGTTTTCGTACAGTACAACATAACTTCATCATCTTATAAAGCCTCGAAATTTGCCTTCGAACCACTGTTATGGATGAAACATCCTGTTAGACTAAAAATGAGCTAGACCTGGTTCATGTTTACTGATAGATAGATGCCCTGCGTCTTTGTTTTTTCTTCGCTAGTCAACTAAAAGTCATCAAAAAATCAGTACAGCCCTTTCATTCGCTGTTTGGAATAGAATTCACAAGGATTCACTTGCAAATCAAAAGCGTTCTCATTCACAAAACAAAAGAAATTTTTGTGACTAATTTCCCATGCACGTTAATAGTTTATAAATAACCAGAGCCTGTTCGATCTTCCCGAATTTGCTAGCACATTAACATGATTGGCAGTGAGACGAGTATCATATTGGAAGATTTCGATGGTGCAAAAAGTAGCAATCCTTACGGAGATAGGATTAATCCATCAAACTTATTTCGAGCAATTTTAAGTTAAAGAAGTGAACATGAAATGTATTTCGCGAGGTACCGAAATGTCAGTTATTACACACGGCCGATCATTTCATTTTCCGACTGACAGCAAAAAGTTGTACTGTCATATAATCCGAACGAAAAGGTTTAGAATCTGCTAGATTTATATTTTTGTCAAACAAATAATGTTGACAAAAATAATAACGCACAGTTTTAGCGTGGACGAGATTCCAGTCACGTGTGACCTATGGGTCAGGAAAAAGTATTGATTAATTACTTTTGAAACAAGACGCCATCCGACGACCTTGTGAGTAGCGTCACCGGTACAGATGTGTGCGTGGTCGTATTTTTTCCCTATGTGAGTTGAAATACGCGAAACTGACAAGCTATGGAGGAAGACGAAGAATATTTGAGTGGACGTGCCAGGAGATTTGTTCTTGGTTCAACCCTGATGCGAGATGCTTGCGTGTCGCGTTTGGAAATCAATTACAAGCATGATCTTGTGTCTGTCAGGACATACGAACGGTTCTATGCAAAGTACAATGTGCTTCTATACTACATATTCACCGTACTTAATCTACTAACAATCATCCTAGAGTATCCTTCCTCCATACTGATAAAAAATCACGAGTTACCGTATTACATTCCCTTGATAATTAATTTAATTTGTGAATGCTTTTTTTATTATCGCTGGTATATGATTCATTCAATGTCCGAGAAGACAAAACTCACGGAAAATATCTCATCAAAAATGACTTTAGGCATATTGATATTGATGTCTTTGGACGCTGTGATCTATATTCTGTGTCAAAGTGTGCGATTTGCTACTCCTGTTCGCTGGTCAAGAGGACTACGCCCGATACTGCTACTGACTTTTCCGGAAAGTAGACGTTTACGTGCAGCGTTTTCCAATCTAACTCGTACAGCAATTGATGTCATACCCGTATTCGGTCTGTTCCTGGCAACGGTGACCTTTGCAAGTATTGTGGCCATGACTACTTTAGGCGGTCAAAAGCTCACATATCCGAACGGAAAGCCTTACTTTAGTAATTTCTTGGACGTATTTTGGGACCTATACGTACTGACCACAACGGCCAACTCGCCAGATGTGATTATACCCGCGTATGAAAACAATCGCTTGTTCATACTACTATATATATTTATCTGCACCATATGCAACTGGCTGTTTATGGGCATTCTGACCGCATCTGTATACAATTCCTACAAGGTCCACCTCGGGGAATTTGTAGTCACTACAGTAGCCAAACGAAAGCAAAAACTGGACGAAGCATTTCATCTAGTGGCCACTCAAGGACCAGATGGCGCACCGGGTATCAGTCAAGGCACATTTTTACGCTTGATGCGTATTGTGAAACCACGTCGCAGTGAGGATTCACTCAAAGTCCTATTTTACATCCTAAACAAAAGTCGGACCGGGTATTTAAATTTGAACGAATTTGGCCGGTTGTCTGAATACATGCAAGCCCATCTGATAGAAGTGGAACTCAGTCGGAAATACTTTCAGAAATTCATTCCTAAATTCTACGACCTCTATATAACTCCAAATTTCCAAACATTCAAAAGTGTCGTCGATCACCAAGTAACCAGATTGTTCTTCGTCTGTTTAATCGTGGCCAATGGGATTACTGCAATCCTGCTTCGTAGCTATCCCCAGCTGCAGAACTCCATTGAATGGGGTTTCACTTTGATCTTTCTGGTTGAGCTGATAATCAACTACCTGGCAAGTGGAGGTGTAACCTTTTTTGAGGACGGTTGGGTCATATTCGATTGCGTGGTTGTTTTTGGTGCTCTATTTGGACAAATAGTGGAATCCGCGCTCACGGCTGTCGGGGTGGATATTCCAAGCGGGATTACTCAAATGCTACTTTTGATGCGGCTAGTTCGTCTACTTAAAGTGTTCAGTGCTGTACCCAAATTCAAAGTAGTCATTAATTGTGTCCTGACAATTCTACCTTCTCTGGCCGCATATACAACTATTCTGTTAATTCTTTTCTACGTCTATTCATGCTTCGGAATGGAAGTGTTTAGCTACTTATACGAGCCACCACCACAGCACAACTACTCGGCAAACACATACTGTCATCATCCCAATTTACGAGACACGGAATTTGTCTCGTGGCACTATTGTCTGTTCAATTTTAACAGTTTCACAGAATCGTTCACTATGCTCCTCGTACTTACGGTCGGCAACAACTGGCAAATCTTTGCTGAAGGGACCGAATTAGTTACCAACCAATGGTCGCGTATTTTCTTTCTCTTTATTCACTGGACTTGTGTTCTGTTGGTGCTGAATGTTGTTCTGGCCTTCATTATCGAAGCTTTTCTGATTGAATACGATGCCCAGGGAAGTCGTTTTGAATCATACATTGAAGAAAGGCTAGAAGAAATTGGTATGAATGCAGAAAGTGAACTGTTGAAACGCGGTATTCATGACTACGGTAAACAGGGATTCCAAATGTCGAAGAAAGCGCTCGACGACGCATTTCCTATCAACTCACCCCGATCGAAAGCCTTTTTCCTTCGATCAGACAGTGCTTCAATTGAAATACTCATGTTTCGTATGTTTGAAAAGGAAGTGGAAGAAATTCTGGCAGATTATCGCAGCAGTGTGAGACAAAATCGGTTCAAGGCTCATGATACACTAGGACAAGCTGCTGGTTGATCTAACTACTCAAAGAATCGATCCGAACCGGTCCGCGGTGAGAGATCACAACAACAACAACAACAACGTAGATCTGTTCTCGTTTTTAGTCCACATCTGCTGGTGTGCCTGGACTCCAGCAAATGCATTGGGTTTACGCAACCCATCTGCGTATTCTTCCATTTCTGTTCGTCTTTACTCTCATGAAACTTACGTATGACAATCTGATTGATTTTTTCTCAAGGGATTAAAAGGTGATTAGTAATTGTCTTAAGAAAAGAAGTTCATTTGCGAACATTACGCGATGTATAAGTGCTCAACAAAAGCATAACTCCTATTTTCATCAACGGCACATAACCCCGTACGCAAGTAGTAAAGGGAGAATGGATGTAAACGATTAGTAGTTCAGGTATTCTGGTTACGACAACAGAAAAATAAATCGGTATGCTCAGTTTTCAAATACTCAAATGACGACTAGGAAAGTAGAGGGAACATAACCATGAGCAGCCCGACTCTGGAATAAATTCTGACAGTCTTCGCCTCTTCAACCGTTGCCTTTTCTTTAACGTGTACTTGCGTGGTAAGTTTCATTGTTTGAACGATGAAAGGATTAGCACAGTGACGCGGGAAACGCAAACCAGTTTAGTTTTTGCACTGAATGCGTAGACGACAGTAGTCAGCTACTAATTCGCAGAAATCTCGGTCTATATTAGCTGAATGACAAAACCGAAGACATCCTGAGAACCTCTGAATAAGTTCAAACCTCCAAAATGAGCGTTCCTGTATGCAGTTAGATTTCGAAAATAAAATTAATATTCGCTCTAAACATCGCCTTTGTATGCATGTCTCTCGCAATACCTCATACAAAAGACTGAAATATGGACAGTCTTGAATTAGCCAATCATACGAAGGTGCCCCAAAGACAGATTAGTCCTCAACTTAATAAGTTCAATAGGCAAACAATAATGCACGTCACTCTGTAAGTTTCTAGGAGAATCGGACGCAAGAGATCTAGATTCGAGACTATTTGAGAGCTTTTCGTTTGTCTACTTCTTCTTGAAAATCGAGGCAAGTGTACCCAAACGTCTTGCGATTTTCAAGCGCAGTGTTGTATTTGGAAACCATGCGTTCCATTGCCTCAAGGAATGACCAGGTTGGACCAGTTGAATGAACGTGTAATGTCTGAGCGACTGGACGTATGGTTCAATACGACACCTGTTCAATATCGTCTAATAGGTTTTCAGATAAAGATTATTTTGGACAGGTTGATAAAATTCAGAATAGCCATCTGATTTTTTTAACGTGACTTTGAATATGACGTCATGGACTGTTCGCTTTGACTCCAATGGCGGAATCTGAACCTCAGTGCTTAAGAATACACTGTAGACAAGGAACGTCCTTTCGATATAACACTTCTGAATTTGCATGGTACCCTACGATCAATTTACTGCATCTGCTCAGGTTTTGCGATAGTTCAACACTCACATGCATTATTAATACATTTTTTTCGAATTTGATTAGTCAATAAAACGGATAGTTAAATATGCAATCTCACCAGCTCACCTTTTATTTACCCGAACTGTGCAAAAAAATCACGGATTATGTTTGTATAATTATTCTTTATTTCCTTAGACTCGGCTCATTAAAGCCCATCTGGTTGCACCGTTTCGAATCCCACCGAGGCTACTGAACTACACACAATCGACATACAAAAACCAATCTAGTTGCACCGTTCCGAAGCTTTTACACGTGATCTGGTGTGCTCTGTATAAGACTGAATCACTTCTGTTGCGATTCTCTATTCGGGGATATCATGAGTAGTATAAGACCCATCACTATCGTAAACTCTCCGATTCAGAATGTCTTAGACTTTTTCCATGAGATTCAGATCTTCGCTGACTGAGCGCCGAACCTCTGTTCTGATACTGTTTGCAATGTCGAGGGCACTTTCAGCGTTCGTCGAAAAGATGATGCTCCAAACCTTCACGGAATTTCTCACTTATCCGCGGACTCAAGAACCGCTATTTGCTCCACAAATCATATCAGAGATAATTGTGGGCATCGGGCCCAAGTAAGTTGAACTTATTATCGCTAAAATATACAAAATTTCATTCGTTTTTTAGTGTGACATGGTCATCACTCCTAAAAAACCTTCAACTGGCGACCTTTTTAGAACTAAGCACTCTCATTTTCCTGTATTTGATCGAGGAAAACTTTTCATTGTTCGTGATATAATTCCAATCGAGACATTGAACTCAAGCTCCGTTTTCTTCGAAGATACATGGCTTAAGCAGTGCACCGCCATACACACCAATCCACATTTGTCTCTCAATGCGTCTTTTTGCATTTAACCCCTCCTCTCTCCCCAAACACTTGATTTAAACGTTCATTGTTTTCGCTCAGAATACTGTGCTACTCAGGACCCAGATCTACTGCATTATCACACATTTATTGACTTTCATCTTAAAAATGCACCCATTCTTGATATTCTGTTTTCATTATGTCTCTTGCAGCGCCCCACAATCGACACTACTGACTCAGTTGATGACTCAAGGTCTTTGCTAGTGTTAGGACCCCATGGCTTCTGTCTTATATGTTTGCCCGATGGCACAAACGCACATCAAACAGTTGCTCTGTTGAAGTTAGCGGGAAAAAACCTCACTAGACGTTATATTAGATGGGCATCATTGAGCTGAATCTGAGAGATCGGACAGTAATTCTGGAGCAGGGAAATTTGTGAAATAATTTTATCAAAATAAAAGATAGCTTCATTAAATATAGTGGATTTTTTCTATTTACATATTCAGGTTAATAAAAAGGGAAATGATTGTGGAAATACTGCGGTATACGGGGAGCGGGAAGGAAGCAGAATGACTGTCACTGAGAGTACATATATGGGTTCATTATTCAATGGTCTGAGTAAATGTGCGTCAAATGTTCAATTGATAACAAATCATACCAATACCAGAAATAAATAGCAGAATGAAAATTGTGCGAATAGTATTTGATAAGAAAGATGGTAACACAGAATAAAACAGGTTAAAGTGACCAAAAATTCAATGAATGAGGGAGGGAAATGTCACGTATTGTTATGAGGAAGATAAGACAATCAGTTTCCTGCATCCCAATCCAATCGAACTTTGATTGAATACTACTCTAATCGTAGAGAACACACGGTGATCAACCGGATAAAAACAATCTACCTGCCGTCTAGGACGCATCGCAGATGTCTGGTTGGGTAACTGAGGGAGCAATACCGTAATTCGGCGGGTAAAGTGCTCTTTCACTTACGTCAATATATCGCATGTCCCCGGAGAGCGGTCTCTCTTTTAACAAACTGCCAGTAGAATCACGAACTTGGAATGTTTTATGTCACCGTAAGCTCTCAGCCACTCACTAAAAATTGGGGCGCTGGTCATTGTACACAAGTTAATCTCACGGTTTGAAAAGCTTTTTTGGTTTCGCATAGTATAACCTCTACATGTTGCGCCTCACGCAAGTCGCAATAGCGAGCGCTTACCTATCATACTTAGGCTGTCAACGCCGCTTACTGTAAAATTAGATTATATTGACCGAAATCAGATTGAAGTTTCGGTTCTGAGGACGGGAATTCAATTGGGAGGACGCTTATTAGCATAATGGTGAGCAATAGGCCGAATAAGTTCAAGTTGGCGAGAAATCTCGATGGAGTGAATTACATCAGCAGTTCCTCACAATTCGAAAACGAGTGTTGAAACAAGTGGGGAGGAATGCTGCTGTAGGGGTTATCACACGTGAGAAAGTTATGCAGCCTTATATATGCAATTCGCTCCGGACAGCTATAGTTTCCGCTGTAAGAAAATGCCTCAAGACCAAACACACCAATCTGAGAAAAAGGCGACGATATCAGGTGGTTGAGTGTGAAAACAGTTCGATGGGTGGTACAATTATTAAAAACTGTGGAGTTCAGATTCCGGGATAATTAAAGACATGCACCCCTTGACGACAGTTTCGTACCGCCACCGCCCTGGGTTTACACGCATTTCGCCTAGCACAATGGCAGCCGAGTAAAAGGACCATATACGAAACGCTTGCAAGCAAATCGCCGAGCTCGGCGAACAGGCGAAATGAAATTCCCAAGTTTTAGCTTTATCACAAATAAAAAAAACCTCGAATCATAAAATTATACCACGAAGAAGTCATCGTACCCCAGCAAGATTCAATTTGAACAAAACAAGTTAGCGCGACATATTTCCAATATGATCTTGAATTTACAACTTTTGTCTATACATAACTATGGGTATTTCAGGGTGGCTTTTTTCCTTCACAAACAATCCTCATCGTTATTCTGTTCTTCGCTTGGCCATGTAGGGGTAGGACCGCACCGAGGTGTTCAAGGATAGTATACTGATTTGTTGACCTGTGACGAACATTTACTGAGCATATGATCCTAAGGCCTTTAATCAATCGCACTTCAAAGCACATCTTAAATCGTTTACTGAGACGAGCCGTACCTCCGGTTGCAGGAACTGGGAGCCCGCACGTGCCCCTCGAATGAATTCACTTGTCTCGCCCCGGTAAAATCTGAACTTTGCCAGCATTTGGAGAGCGGATACCGATTAGCGAACATCGGCTGCAGCAAGCGTTCTCAACATCCATGGTGCTAAGATGATGACCGTGTATGGTATTAAATTGATATGCCTCTGTGCTTCGTTTCTTCCTAACTCCCGCATTTTCCCTCGAAATAAATGATAAATATCTTATCCTAATTTCAATGTCCGATAAAATACATCCTCAATACGGTGGTATTCCCTTAGACTGACTAGGTCGATTTTATTTCGTACAAGTAAACTGATATATGTGGTCGATATATCAAACGTTTACGGCGATTGAAAACCAGTCTGCAGGTCAACCTCAATAAATGTCGTATCATCTCTTCAGCTGTGTACAAACATTCTTCTGAAAGTTTGTACACGGCTGAAGAGATCGCGCGAAACAGTTGCATTCGACCTGTACTGAGATTATGTTTGTTCTCGCTCTTATGAAACTCTTTAAGGGAACTGGATGCACGAATTCTCGCATCACCATACTCGTTAGTCATCATATCATATCATCTGCCCTTAGCTTTGATGTGTTTTATTAAATCGGACACCAAATAACATGGATCCTATCGACCATCGTTCGTGTCAGCCTACTTTTCATTATTTATCACTTGTCGCAGTTGTGTCCGTCTTACTTTGGGCTGTATATCTTTGAAAACGTGGCAACCACACCCGATGATTGCCTAAGGCTTGTTCTGACTTGACTTCAATAACCGAAGGCTATTGGTACTGGGTGACAGATTATTACCACAGGCACGTGCTTATACCCACTTTCTTCGCATAGCCATCTACAAACATCTTTGTCTTGGAAGTCCTCTTTGGTTCTTACTTCTCGCATTTGGCTCTGCATCACCGGTCGGTGAAACGTATAGCCACAAGACTAAACAAATATGACCACGAAGGTGCAAGGTTCATGGTTGAGCGCAATGGAAACGCAATCTGGAAGTAGTACATTCGAGGTGGATTGTGACATTGCTGACCAGCGAACATGCTCAAGCTCGACAATGGGAGATGTCAAAAGCTGGGGGTAGTACCGGGGTAAAGACAGAGAATGCATTGAACATTGATTTGCGAAGTAATTGAATGCATGGCAAAATTGTGCTGAGAGGGGATAGACGAAGTGAGATGACAAAGAAACACAACTGAGAATCGTCAACCAGGATAATAACCAACACGGCGATGGTTACAGCCCGGCATACAATCTGCAGGTGGCCATAAAAATGGCGCTGAGATAAGCCGACCACAGAGCAAACCGAGTAAGAAAAGAACAAGGATGAACAGAAAACGCATGACTCGCGGAAACTGCCGGCAATGTGCATCATCCCACTGTGTGGGAGATAGCGGTATATCATCAAGTGTACGTGACTTGCTTTTGAGTTTCAGCAGCTCAAGTTTTTCGGCTGACTGACCTTCTCTAATCCCAAACAGGGAAACCAAAAGCAACCTGTATGTCGGGGTCCCTTAACCGGGGCTCTTATAACTGCTTGCCAGGTCTTCATTTAACCACCCTTAAACCTCTTCTTTCCGCTACCCACTTCGGCAAATATCACACTTAGATAATGCGTTTCCAACCCTAGTTAATATATTGCAATGTAGAACAGAGAACCAGACCTCCAGAGGGACAGGGGACACAGATGGACAAATGATGAACTTGATACAATCCGTGAAGAGGAGCTATTTGGTGGATTACATGAGTCGTGTGACAAGTAATTACTGCTTTTGTAAAATGGAGTATTGATCGCGAAAACAAACGGCACGACACTCAACAATCTAGATTGGGCATAGAACACAACACTGCTAGCGAGCAAGATTTAATTCCGGAAT